CTTCCTCCTCCCCTATCCTCCTTTCTCCTCCTCTCTCTTGCCACCTCTTCTTCGTCCTTCACCACCGCCTCCCTTTCCCCTTCATCATCCTTCTCTCACACTCTAAAAGCCTTGACCCTACCTCCTCCCCCTCTCCCCTCTTGGCGTATAACTAACCCTCCCCTACTCACGTGTTACGTTGCCAAGGAACGAACGGTGAAAGGAATTTGTCCTTACTTGGTGGAGAAAGTGGGCAAGGGAAGGGTTGCCGATCCCTTGTGCCGCCAAGAAGGAAAGGAAAATTGGCATTTGAGAAATTGGAAGGAGGCAAGTCCGAAAAAGGGACTAGAAATAGTTGGTACTTAAAGCAAGGTCAGTTGACTCAACCATTACTCCGACTGCATGACTAAGGGAAGAGATTGGCCTGGACTGAGGAAGGAAAAGGAAGCACAAAGGGTTAAGAAAAAGTGAACTTAGGCTTGTGGGAGGGATTATGTGTTGACCCCGTGTGGGGAATCTTTGCATAAATTGTGTTGGATGTGCAAGTAAGTAGCCTAAAGAGTCATTCAGCGGGAATGGGTCCCGGGTATGCCGGTCGGCAAAGAGAAAGTGGGACTGAGGTCAAACAGGTTGTGGACTTAACCCTTGCCCTTGAATAAGTTCTTGAGCATGTTTGTGAAAAGCAAAGTCCGCAATAGCAAATTGGAAGACATAAGGCGGCCAAGACGGCCGCCTCGATTAAAATAAAGACTTTCAATAAAGCCCCTGGACTGCTTGAGCATTGGAAGGAGCAATTGCATGATAACACCTCAAAGCATCAAGAAACATCGCGATTGACGAAAAGTTTTGGCGAGTCTACCATCCGGCGAAAGGGCGGAGTTGCATCCCCAATATCAAAGGTCTCTCGCAAAATGGCCCATCCCCATCCATCTCAAAGCACTAGGTGGGGGTGCCCCTGTGACGAACGCTCCGTGCCCTGAGCATGAGTGCGGGCGGAGCAGAGCCAACTGGGATCCGCAGTGGGGTCGACTCAGGCTCGAAAGTCTAACAGGGTACGGACCTACACCGTAACTATACCCAATGCACGAGAAGGGGGTACAACCCGTGCCCTTGTGGTGAATGCCATCACAATCACATCGTGCACATAAGGAAAAAGAGTACATAACAGTTGTACACAACGAATAGACAAAACGAAATGTACACAAGGAATATACATGTAAGGGATGTACACAAGGAATGTACATGTAAGGGATGTACAGCAGGAATGTACATAGTTACTATACCAAGGTTACCTGAAAGGACAAAGAGCCAAGCAAAACATCTGTGACAACATCTGTCATAAAAAAAAGTGAAGTAGCTGAGTTTAGCATGAAACCAGCAAAATGGGCATACAACTCCTGGAAAGCACGCGAGAGGTTCGTCAACCGAGGCAACAAAGAAAAAAAGGTGAGAAAAAGGAACAAATAAGAAGATCGACGTAGGAGGTAAGAACAACTCGTATAAATATATATATCGTCAAACAGAACTACCTGGTAAACCGTCGGTAGAGAGGGAGAAGAGGACAACAACAAGGGGTTGTGACAACCTGTTTCGTCGGAGTTTCACTACTCTTATTGTGTATCATAGACAACATGTGCGGCATCGTCACTTGTCCGGGGAACAGCAGCCTGTTTCTTTGTCTGCCCCAATTCTCTTTGTGCCTGCTCCACAGGCTGTTGGGGTTCCTTCGTTCCAAATGACAATATCCACTCCTATGCCTCCTGTAGACAGTCCAGCTGTCTGCTGGAAGCCACGGGACCACACTTTATGCCCTTCAGCGTTACATATTCACGACTCACCTGTACAACAGGATGTGGTCCCTGCCCAGAGTACACTCCCGATACTAGGGATAGCCCCCACTCAGGATGTGGCCCCAAATATTGAGGGATTGGAACATGATCTGTGTGGATTGACCCCACAAGTCGTAGACCACATGAGGGATCTGCAAATGGCTGACCAGCATCGTTTGGATGAACCACAAACTCGTGCCCCACCATACACAGACCACATGCACGATCTGCAACTGACTACCAGCAAACAACCCAAGACATTTTGGGCTTGCAACACCATCTGGGTGATCTGCAAAATGTTGGCCAGCATCCTACACACCAGCCTGAGATCCTCACCAATCTCTGTGGTCTGACTGCAACTAATATCTGTTCTCACATTCTCCACCACCCAGTTTGTACACCATCAGATTTCCTTGCAGTGGCCCTTCAGCTTGATGCTGATCTTTCCCGCCTACAGCCAGAGGATTGTAATTATAGCGAAAGAGGGTTTTCCATTGTTGTCCTACAAGTAGCAATGAGGGACCGCCAACTTGAACTACGCAATGGTCGAGCAGGTCAGTGGTTGAAACCCCCATCCCACATCTCTGCCTGCATTCTGCACGGACCTGGCCATTCCACCTCTGACCACTGGGAGTTGTGGAACAACGGCATCATGGCCTATGCCACGACTGATGTTACTGATTTCAGACATAACGATGCTGCTTTCTTGCCACACCAAACTGTCTGCAATCTCTTTTAAGTCGAAGATCATTCCTCTGGCCAAGTACTCAGCAGGACAATGTACCAACACTCTGCGACATTCTCCTTTGCACAGTCGAAGATCATTCCTCCTTTGCACAGCTATAGCCACCATCGCGTCTGTCACAATCACTACAATGACATTGTTTCTGCCTCCACGTGTGTAGAGGACTGTCCCTCCATTCCTGACCGCTCCTCAGATCTTATGAAAACCCACACACTGACTGGCCTCATGTGCCATTCTAGAGTGGTTTCCGCCCCCCCCCCCCCTTCTTCTGTATTACTGGTAATACATACGAATGAGCATCATTAAGACAACAGAACGTATAAGTTGAAGATCTGAGAAGAAATGAACAGGAATATACCTCCACCGTTGCTCTTCCTCCTTTCATAGTGTGCAATTGGGCCATTATGGCACACAGGGATGTGGGAAGCTTGCGCTCTCCCTCAATGAACATGGTGAGCTTGTACATGAGAGGCACGGTAGAGGGGGAGCTGCAAGAACAAATGAAAGGGGTACCCCAAAGAAAGCAAATGTGAACACAATTAAGAAAGGGGTTTACATTAGGCACTTTCCAGCCACCGCCAGGTGTTAGGAGCTAGGATACTGCTCTCCGCATAGAGTAGAGGTGGTTGCTGCACAGTAGGTAGTGTCTGGTAGACCCATAACCTTAGGAGTGTGTCTACTTGGCCTAATCTATATTAGGTGTTGTGAGGTTAAAACAAAATGATGAGAGAAGAAAATAGAATAGTAAACACAGCTGTCCCCCGATCAGGAGAAGACAGCCATCATTCAAAAAAAAAAAGAAGAAAGGGGTTCACATGCCCCTATACTCCATGTTGCTTGCTATAGAGCTGAAACTGTTTCATTGTCAGATTGTCTCAACTCAAGGGCTTTCGTTGTCTGCAATAGGATTGAATATGCTTTGATTTTGGATCTGCTCATCTGGGTGGAATAGGGGCTGTTGTGGTGAAAATTCAAACACACACGCACACACACACACACACACACACTGTTCAGTCGGTGAAAGTCCGATGAAACAGTCTGGCACAGTCATGCTTTTTTTGAGTGTATAGCAGATTTAACAACACGCACACACAAACATACCCACACATGTATACACCTGCTCACCTGTTCACCTGCATACAACAAACATACATATGTGTTGCATGGACACACCAAAACAATGAATGAACACATCGCGTTCTACTCTGCTCAGTCTTCTCGCATTGTTTCTGCATGCAACATTCTTGTAGAGTAAGCATGCAGTCAGATTAGTGTCTCGCAGGGAAGCATGCATATGCATCCATTGCGGGTATTGATGTGTCCGCAGTTGTGTGCACGCACCAAGATTCGTGTCGCGCATGGAAGCATGCATATGGATGGGTTGCAGGTGTTGACGTGTCCGCAGGTGTGTGACCAACCCCTCTTCTGTCAGGCCATCTTCATAAGTGTAGACTCTCATATCACCCAACACAGACACCAAGACATACCCCTTGGAAGAGCGTGCAATGCCTGAGTCACAAAAATTGCCAGGAGACACAGAACCTTTAGTTATCCATACTTTCACAATATCACAAACCAGAAAAACCACTGAGATACAATCAAAATAGATGAGAAAGCGCCAATCACCATTAATGTCAATTATGTAAACATCTCTGTGCAATGATCTTCAACTAAACATAATGCACTTGTGCCCTATCCAAGTAAAATACATAGGTTGCACCCATTCGTTGAGAGGACATATGCACAATATTACAATGGTAGAGGAACAACTTTTGGGTCAGTGGAGGGGGGGTTTTGGGTGGGCGAGGGTCAGTTTTGAAGGTCAGTTTAGGTCAAGGGAGAGGGGGGGTCAGTTTGATCTTTGGACTCTTTTCACTTTCACTTTTTTTTTTTTTCGTTTTTTTGCCCCTTTCTTTGAAAAGAACAGGGCGTTATGGACCTGGCACCTGTCCATTCTGGAAAACATCAGTCCTTTTTCTTTTTTTTCCTGTTTTTTTAAACAGAACCTTAAGGTTCTGGCTACTTTTCCATTCTGGGGAGCATCAGTCCGATTCCAACTCCACCGGCAAGTCAGGACGAATTACATTGACACACGCTCCTCCCCCTTATGGTGTGGAGGCCCGAAGGAAGGATATACCACTCCTCACCCCTGCCTAAGTTAGCCTGTTGGACTTAATTTGGGTCCTGTCCGATCTCCTCCGCGCCTGTCTGCTAACTGCATCCTGTTTGTATTGGTCTGGCTGGCTTTTCCTCTCAGCCGTTTGGCTGTCGACATTGCTTTAAGTGTTAGAACTGCCTGCTTGGCCATTCCTGTCCTTCTTGCTAGAACCCTAAACCCTAGTGTGCAGCTTGTTTTGATTTAGTGATTTAGTCCTCGTCTCGTTCCATACGTTGGCCTGTTTTTTCTATTTATGTTTCCTTGCCTAGTACTCTGATTGGGGATCTGTGATTCCTCACTAATAATACTTAAGGTTCCCTATGTGACTCTTGTTAAGTCTATAAGATCTCTAGTAGGTTCTACCCTTTCTTAACTAGTTCCTATGGACGTACCAGTAAGATGGGACCTACATATGGAGCTAGAACCCTAAACCCTAGCTTGGTACTTCTTTGTTCTTGACCTGTCTCTTGTGGTCGTATATGTATCGTATCTTGATATGGTTGCTGGGGCTGGTCTGAATTCTAGGTATTGCTTGAGAGGGGTCTGTATGGGTTACGGTGAATGTATTCTTGGTGGGGGAGGTGTTGAGGCTTGGGGGGTGGCTGGAGTTGAGGCTTTAAGTTAGCTGAGGTGAATTGAGTACTGTAAGGGAGTTGTGGGAGGGGAGGGGTGGGAAGAGGGGGGGGAAGTAGGAGATTGTGGTGGTATGGAGGTTGACGTTTGGGCGTGGGGGAGAGGCGGGGGGGGGGGGGGRGTGGGAATGGTGGGAGGAGCAAGGTCTTTACGGGTATGGTAGTGGATTAGTGATGGGTGGTGTAATGAGCCCAGTCTGTAAGATACTCGCCAGATGCCGAAATAGTAACTCAACTTTGAACAATGTCCCCAATAATCATGGATGTGATCACTGATACAATGTCTCGTTTCCAGTAGACGAAGAGAGTGGAGGGGGAATAGACAGAGTAGAAGGTGGAAGAGAAAGTAATCATCAATGACCACACAGAGAGTAGTCTAACATTCCCCACTCCTCCGGGCTTCCCTCGCCTCCACGTCAGCAAAACAGTACCCAGTAACGAGCCTGACAAATACTGATCACATTGAAGTGCCACGTGGCACATCTCTCTCGTGAAGACGTTGGAGACAATCAACAACGCACAATATCGACATCAACCTCAAGTAAGTATCCCGATCCTCAACAGATCCCGATCTCCCTCCTTGTCGCATCCCGTCACCCAATGTAGACAGCATGGCCAATGCCACAACAGCGATGAAGACAGGTGGCATGCGCCACATCAGCAATGAAGACAGGTGGCATGCGTCACGTCAGCAATGAAGACAGGTGGCATGCGCCACATAAGCAATGAAGACAAGTGGCATGCGCCACATCAGCAGAGGTTGGCGCTCAACAAAGAAGGTGCCAGCATGTTGCCTCAGTCCCACGTCATTGTCCACAGTGCCAGCACACAGCCATCATCAAGCCAGCGTCAAGCCAGCATCCAGCTAGCGTCAAGCCAGTGTCAAGGCATCATAGCAAGACTGAATGTTGACCCCCTGGAGGCAGGTCTTATGTAGTGATTGACCTGCATCAGGTCTCCACCCGCCGTGGCCCGAATTGACTCACACAAGGGCTTGGATTGCGTACAGTTGCAGACTTTAACTTGGTCCTGATGCTGTCTTGGTACCTGCATACAAACAAGTGTGTGTGTCTGACCGGCGGCCTGGGCTGGGTCCGTATTGACTTTGACTGTTGGGCCTCAGGCAGTTGACTATAGTCAACTATCAGGCGCTCATGCCCAGTGTCAAGGCAGCATAGCAAGACTGAATGTTGACCCCCTGGAGGCAGGTCTTATGTAGTGATCGACTGACTTGACCTGCCCCAGGTCTCCCACCCACGGTGGCCCAAATTAACTCACACGAAGGCCTGGATTGCGTACAGATGTAGACTTTCACTTGGTCCTGATGTTGTCTTGGTACTTGCATACAAACAAGCGTGTGTGTCTGGCCGGTGGCCTGGGTTGGGTCTGTATTGACTTTAACTGTTGGGCCTCAGGCAGTTGACTGAAGTCAACTGTCAGGCGCTCAGGCCCTCGGAGGGGTCTTTTGCCCCTTCGACCTTACGGCCAGAAACCGAGGTCGCGGCCTGTGGCCCCTTAGACATTCAACGAGGCATAACGAACGGGTTATCGCATTCCTGCCGGCCCAATTTTCGAGTTTCATCGCAGAAACACATTAACTTCATCTTAACCCGTGTTCATATGCAGCAACAATAATAGGAGCAGTAGGTAACAATTCTTTCTTACTAAACCACCTAGCTTTAGATGGAGGCTGAGACTTGAACTTCACCTTGTACTGCTTTTGCGGTCTTCCCCTGCCACCTGTAGAGAAGTAGCCATGTTCCAAAATCTTTTCAACTTCATATCCTCCATTCATGGAGGGTGGGAACATAGATGGCCTGTTAGGAAACTCATCTCCCTCTACATAACAGTTTAGACGCGTGGAAGACATGATAGGTCTTTAGGTGTAAGGGTACATCAATCCGGTAGGAAGGTCTATCTACATCCCCAATCACCTTGAGAACTTCCCAGGGTCCATAGTAGACAGGCAACAGTTTCTCAGATACATTTTCTTCCAAGGAAAATTTTTTAGACTTCACCCATACAAGGTCACCTTTCTGAAACTTTGATGACCGACGATGTTTGTTGGCCTGCTCAATCATCTGCAATTGGGCTTTCTGTATATTTTCCTTGACCTTTTTGATATCTTCTTCATATAAAACTGCAAATTCACGAGTGTCTGGGGGTAACCTCTGAATCTGGTCCTGGGTTAAATCATCAATGGGACATCGAGGTTCCCAACCTTTATGCAGTGCATTAGGCGTTCTTCCTGTAACAATATGCAAACTGTTATTATATGCACTAGCAATCTTAGGTAAGTTCTCATCCCAATCTATCTAATCGGGTCGTACATACATGCACAAAAGTTGTTGGCATAGACGGTTCATTTGGTCAGTGTGGCGATTCGTTTTGGGATGTCTCCCTGACGATATGGTCAACCTGGTGTCGTAGACTTCCATCAACTTTTGCCATTGCATACTTGTGAACCTGACATCCCTATCAGAAACAATGGTTTTGGGGAACCCATATTCTGATACCCATCGCATCTGAAATTTCTGGATGACTAGTTCAGTCTTAGCTTCAACAGGCAAAGGAATGAACATAGCATATTTCGAGAATCGATCTACAATGACCATTACCTGACTCTTGCCATTTCGGCTCTTAGTAAGACTCATGAAGTCTATGGAGATAGACTCACCTGGCTCACTTGGTATAGGTAGTGGTCTCAATAGTCCCAAGGGATTCTCATGTGAGGGCTTGTTTCTCTGACAGACAAGACAAGTCCGCACATAGGTCAGTACATCCTCTTTCATTCCTTTCTATTCAAAGCGTTCTCTTACATCGGCATACGTCTTCTTAAAACCAAAGTGTCCCTCAGGATCATGACATTCCCCAATGATTAGACTTTTAATTTGTTCTTGGTGAGGAATACACAGTTTTTTTTCGGTTTTATCCAAAAAGAAGAGTAGACCATCAGTCATTCGATACTAAAGGAATAATTCATGGTTTTCTGTAGGGTCTCAATGATAGGACTCCAAATATAATCGTTCACATAACCCTTTCGTATTTGTTCTTTAAGTTCATTCCCAATATCGAGATAGGCGACAATGGTACAAGAGAAATCTGCACGCTTGGGCAAGGCATCCACAACAACATTAGACTTTCCTTTGATTGTTTTCAACTCAAACTCAAAGGTATCAATGCAAGCAGGGTTTCCAAGTGTCTAGTGCAACAACCAAGACGTACAATTCCCTTTCGTAGGTGGAGTTCCCCACTTTCTTTGACAAAAGTCTTCTAGACATAAACTCAATAGGCCTATAGCCCTTGCAGTCATCCTGTTGTAGCACAATTCCAATTTCATACTGACTTGCGTCAATCCTGACAATGAAAGGGAGATAAGGATCAACAATCTTTAAGATAGGATAGTGAGTCAGTACATGTTTTAACCTTTTGACGAGGATTCACAATCTTTATCCTACAACCAAGGTTTTTCTTCCTTCAATAGTTTTCTCATAGGTGCAACTATCAAGGAGAAGTTCCTTACAAACTTTCTGTAATAACTAGCAGGTACTAGAAAAGACATGAGCTCAGTGACAGTCTTTGGTTGGGGCCAATCTCTGATTGATGTTATCTTCTTCTCTTCGGCCTTAGTCCCCCTTCGTTCACTATATGCCCTAAGTATAGGACTTCAGACTTAGCGAACTCAGACTTCTTAAGTTCCAGCTTGAAGTTGCCCTCGC